AASGATTCGAAATTATATCGTTGAAAGATGTGGACGTGAAAATGTAAATCGTTTGACTACAASGATTGATTTATGCTACAAGCTGTTTGAATCTAGCTCATCTATCGTTCACATCTGTTATAGTGGATCAAAGATGATTATGCACTAATAGCTGATCGCTACARTCCGTCTAGTGACGCAACCTGTCAATCAATTTTCGAAAAGTRCGGAGAAAATACACGCAAAACCGATAAGATTAGCACTGAGGTTATTATTAAACAATAAGCACTAATGAGATGACTGTCTAATGAGATAGTCTTTTGTCCAAGTACTGACAACATAAAAACAGAAACTTATAGCATTTCTATAATCATCATCAACCATTTCCAGTGTAGAGTATATGGAAATCATATCACATTATTTCTTACAATATTCTTTATAAGTGTTCTTTAGTTTATGATTATCAATAATATGGTATGCGCTTTCAATAGTGATTGCCATATGAGAACAGACCATCTGTGATCGATGTACATTAAGACTTGAACATCACCCAACCAGTAACGAAACTCATTTCTCACTTATAAAAAACATGATGTGTGCCTGAGAGCCTTGTTGTGCAGACCAGGTAAATGTATCATGATTGTWATCATATTCACCTTACAACTACTTAGCTTAGTTTGCTAAAATATCATTAWACTTCTCGGGGACTGAATTTCTATCTGTCACGAAAGACAATCCACTGATTCACATTTATTATCGCATTTGAATCACTTTTCATGACTGAACAAAAGTAAAGAATTTCAAGCGATTGATGAACAATAAAAACTAAATAATTCGTTGAAATGATTTTTTTATYTTATTRATTTTTGGATAAATGTTTTTCAACMATGTCATTRAAACCATTTAAACTAGTGACTGTAAAAACTATAGATTTGAGATAGTGGAGAATGTTATGGCAAATAAGCTTATTAKACTTTTCAATGTTGTATACAAAATGTATTCTACAGGATGACAATGGGAATCGTTTTTGGAATAATAATATTGCCATAGGGAAGAGAAAACATCTGCCAATTATTGACATTATTATTTGAAAGGCATGTTGTAAAAGAAGTGTCTAGCTGTTTCTTTCTATGGAAACAAAATCGATAAACACTCAAACCAGCGTGACCTCCTTGACACAGAGGAAACGTTCAGACATACTGATATGCAAACATTAAGATTCTTTTGTCAAAAATAGACAACCTTGCATGCAGCCCTTAAATAAACCATTACTTTTTTCATCTCGTATTTTCCCCTCTTTTTTGCTTTTTCAGGTTTATCTCTTCTCTTTTTTTGSTTTTTCAGGTTTATCTCTTCTCTTTTTTTGATTAGTTTTCCCATTCTTCAGTATTTCATCTCGTTCATTCTGTTTCCTATTTTGCTGTAGTTTTTTTTTTTTGTTCTCTGATTTGATGTTCATTGCAAGTAAGTTACATACCATCATTGCTATTTCTAGTTTCCTACCTACTCCTGAAAACCATCTCCGTTACAATACGCCACACAGCTTTCCTAGTTACGCAAGCTGAGCGCGGGAAACAGCAGATGTAGGTTCGATTATTCGCGATTTTAAAGAGCTCGTTCCAAGCGGTGATGTGGAAGACGGCTGGTCAACAGACGTGATGACCAAGACAGCGTTATGAGTGCACATTTTTGAACGGGTTCAAACACAAACTAATTAAGCCCGATTCACGAACTAAACACGATTCACGAAGTAACCACGATAATGTCACGAACTTAGCACGATTCACGAAGTAACCACGATAATGTCACGAACTTAGCACGATTCACGAAGTAAGCACGATAATGTCAYGAACTTAGCACGATGATTCACGAAGTAAGCACGATAATGTCACGAACTTAGCACGATAATTCACGAAGTAAGCACGATAATTCACGAAGTAAGCACGATAATTCACGAACTAAACACGATTCACGAAGTAATCCGATTCACGGATACTTTAGAGAAACGCTGTGCGCACGCTCGGAAGGACGTAACTAGGTGCAACTAATATAGAAATGAAAGAAAGTTATAGTGCTTAGAAGGAGGCAATTCCGGGAGCAACTAAGACCAGAATCATACGTCGACTCAGCGTCGCGCCAAACCAAATAGAAGTGAATTTAGCACATCGAACAGCTCGACGTATGAATCAACGACGTACCAAATGTATTTGGGTCGACACAAATTGACTATTTGGTTCGGCGCGACGCTGGCTCGACGTATGAACCGGGCCACGCTGGCTCGACGTATGAACCGGGCCACGCTGGCTCGACGTATGAACCGAGCCTTATTAAGGTTTTCTATGTGGATGTTGTGAGTCTTGCACAAAAGTTAATAAAAATAACAAAGATTTTTCTTATCATAGTGGATGAATCCTGAATCTTGAATGCATGTAAAACCTAAGAATAAAGTAAGCTAATGTCTGGGTACTGGCGCCAAGATCTAAAGGCGAGTAAGATGACATGATTATTTTTTTGCAACACCCTTCTAAAATATATAAAAAAACTTGTATATAAATAAAGAAATATGTTTGCATTTTACTAGTATGAACTCTTCGACTCTATGGACATTTTCTTGTTTAAGACATACGCATGCTCAGCTTCTCCGCAGTGTCGGATTCACACGACCTAAACACGGTTGACGAGCTGCGTTGGGCGGCCATGTCACGGTGTCATTCACGAAAACATGGCGTACTGTAAGTAGTCTCAAAACAGCGTTACTTTTACGCTCTGGACAGACTCTTATAAGATCCAAGAATCTTTGCACGATTTTCTCACAAAATTTGCAATATTTGAGTTTTAATAAATCAGAAAGCATCTTTTAACGAGAGATTATTTGTAAAACAAGAAACGATCGCAAAGGGTCGTGGGTGCACGTAGATCTCTTAAATTATTCTACTTATAATTATAATACTTATAACGCACGAACTTATGAGGAGTCTCTCGGCAACGGAGTTTATTATTTTTGTTGAACTCATTTGAGCTCATTTACAAAAATTGAAGTAAATTCAATGAAAGATCGAAAGAATGAGTTCCAAAACTTTCCGTAGAATATCTTGAGTTTACTGAGCTCTATTACATTTTAAATTGGGAGATCTCCTCAACCTCTGTACTAAAGCATGAGCGTTTAAAGTCAATTTTGTGATGATAATTCAGACATTATATAGGATCCATACCAAGGAATATATATGTGATYATACATCATAATTTGAAAGATCATACACGAATGCGAGATCGCCGAGTTTTCTCTCAAGTACGATTTGAATCACACATTGGCAGCGGTTGCTATTTGAAGTAAGGGCTTCTATTTTAGCATATCTGAAAATACTATAGTATTATYCAAGTGTTTTTCTCTGCCTACTCATATCCGATTGTGTTGTTGGCATGACTTGAGCCCTCAGTGTCCCTCAGTGGACAATTTATCACCAACTTAACGAGAATCWTCGACTATATATGTAGTATTGTAACCATAGTGATGGGTTCTTTTAATACGGACTGGGTATTTACATCAATTTATCTCTCCATATCTCATAAGACAGGTTATGCTTTGACAGCAGTTCTTAGGTTCCTTTTCGTACGGCCGTTGCCTGTACATGGAGTGTTATTGTCCTATTTACAAGACAAATGAAGAAGTCAGACCGTTTCATTTGGTTTGTTATCTTATCTAAAATATAATTGAAAAGTTTCAATTGTTCATCTGTAACTAATTAAAAATTACACATTTCTCTTTCAATAACGCTACGCTCATGATAATTTGCATTTCTTGTCGCGCGAATTGAACAACCAAACGTCTGAAACTGAAACTAGAYAATCTCCTTGCTGAAACTAGACAATCTCCTTGCTGAAACTATATCAGAACGTTTTGTAAATGTACACATTTTTCGATGTTTTTGTTTATGTTTATTTCGATGATAAGCCACCGCGATGATCAATCTATCTTTGTTCCAGCATTGTGTCTTATTGAATTGTTTACATGCTGCTGGTTTCTGTTATGATTTGGTAATTGTGATTGATATAAATAAGCCATTTGGCGGTATCTTTATGTTGACCTCAGTTTTAGGTAATTTGCTGCCGGTACAAGAAGCCATTCCAAATGCATAGAAACTGACGGTTCAAACTTTAAGTTGTGGTAATTGCTTTTTTTTATAGGCGGTTATAATGTGAGGTTTCACAAAAACATTCACTTTTTTCGATTTATGATATTCGTGACATTCGTATGAAATTTTTAGACGAAGAGAAAATCTCATATATTTGGTCTACTGTCAAGAGCAGATACAATCAAAACATCCAACTATACACTGTTTAACTGTAAAATATTGTAATTGATGTAATATGCCCGATTTAGTTTTTCAAATTGTTCGTATCGCGAGAGTGAGACCGAAGGGACTGAACTATCACTTCAAATAGAATTCACTTGGCAATGTGCTTGTATAGTTTGTAATGTTTGAAACACCGTGCTCTTCAAGGACTTATATAATTTAGCAAACTGTATACATTACCAATTAAGTTATATCATTGCAGTTGGTATAAGTGAAACACGTCGTAGCAATCTTTGCTTTCCATATCGTCTTGCAGTTACTCACTCAAAATGTCTCGGACTTTTTAAACACTACACAAATCAAGTCAAGCAAAATTACTTACTTTAAGGTTCCTGTCGGCGTTGAATAACGTCAATTCAACCTTTGTTTTTCTAACTTTCCAAAAAGTGGAAATCCTCCAATGACTTATGAATATTTACACAAAAACACAAATTTGTTTGCTCTCAGCCGGCGGGAAATTATAGCCCGCCCGCACATCCGGGTATTTACCTTTTGAAGAGGCTTGTGATAGGATGCTTTTTGCAATTAAAAATAGGCAGTTTTTGTAATGGAAAGAAAAAAGAAGCCTTTAAATGATATCTTTATCAATATTTTGTTATTTTTGTAATTACTTGTATTAGTATATATCATCGATGATATATCAACAAAAAGCTGCAAGAGAAATCGCTACTTTACAAAATGGATCCATCAAAGTAGTTTCCTGTATGACTTGAGACATCAAATGTAGTTTCGAAGGTAAGAAATCCTATTTTTCCTTGYCCGTTTAATCCTAGCAAAAAGCTTTTAATCTTTTATTGAAATATCGACTCTGAACTTCGCATGAGCAGTATTACGATTTGAAAGCTGCGACCTTAGCTAAGTGCTCAGATGGATTAATGATTGACAACAAAACGAGAGAATTATAAAAAAAAGMAATAGTCCAAGATGACCAGCATTTGTTATCTCAAAACCCATCAAAAAYAATAATCACAACTATTTACAAAATCAAAGTTTCTGCATAAAATATTACTGAATTGGGTTTGTTAAAATGGACAGAATTTAAATTAGTTTTTCAGCTGTATAAAATCACGCCTGATCTCTTCAACATAAAAAAATATGCGGATTTATGTCTTAAAGTGTTTTGAGATATAAACATCAATTTCACTTTCTAAGGTATCAACTTTTGTCAAAAACAAAAGAAAGCGATAAAAAAAGGAGTGCCACTATGTCTAATGTAATGTGAAATGTTCTCTTGTGCTATCTTGCTATCTTATGTTTGYCTGCTTTAGACCTTTTACCATTCAAACAATCAAGCAATAAAGGAAGTTTTAGCTTATAAACTTAAACTTACTAGCTACGTCGTTCCCATATAAGCAGGGTTAGATCGGTGCTAGTGCCAGACGACGAGTAACCCCTGTAGTTCTGAGTCTCTGACTTGTGCCCTGAAAGGCAGTATATATATCAAGTTTCTATACCAATCCAGTGGGTTTTTACGTTCAGGTGCTGTAGCAATTTGTAAAAATCATCTGTGAAATTGAATTTCAGGCTTCAAAGCAATCTCAAAGTCGTTTTCCCACTATCTGATCTGGTGTCCCCGCAAAATATTGCTTATTTCCGCCACTTACCAAAATGTATGCAGATCACGACATTTACGTATAATTTCATGGCGGGGYCATAACAACATCTATACAAATAGCAAATGTTTAACGACTRTATAACCTCGTACGGACTTCAATTTACTTTTGTGTCAACAAAGATACATTTATTTCTTCATGATAATTACAYAGGCTTGATTTGATTACCACCTTTGATCGTTAAAAACCACCATTGGTCAGTAATTTTAATTTCTTCTAGTTTCGTATAATACGAATCATGACTGAATTATTTCATGACCCGCAYCGAACGGCTAATTGCACATGCTCAGTGTGTGATTGCCCTTCGCGGTAGGATTAATAAAATTCACCACAAAAGAAATCTGAATGCTGCAATGACAGGATTTACTCTAAGCTGAAGCTAATAGCATGTTACCCAAGCATCTCCTCGTGCACTCAAGTGCCTCGTATTATTTTTCTAGCTTCATAATGAGTATTAATAAAAACAAAAGCAAAGAAAGAAATGTGATTGACAAAACAGTCATGAGTCGTGGAGCACGGATATTAGCCAGTACAAAACGAAATGCAAGGTGAAACCGACGAATGGACGATTAGACGGTTGAACGTATGGACCATGAATATAAAGATGTAACTATGATGAAAAACGAATTCAAAAATAACGAAATCAATGTATAAATCAATGAACAAACACATAAATGAATGAAACTTTTGAAAAAAAGGGATGAACGACTGGATGTGGGAGAACGTTAAATTGAAGTCCGGAAAAAGAAAAGTGCTTTTAATCTTTATATAAAGGGTTTGAGGAAGTTTATTCAAATAAAATATAATATTCAAATGCCGCAAATCAACAATGTTCCGAGAAAACTTTGCAATTGAGAAAAAATCATCCATAGTTATAACAGAACGGAGATTGCTTTGTAGCTGAGCAATATTGGTGTTCAGCAATAAAAAAGATGTGCRATTTGATATTCGTCGAACAATATTCCAACAGGAAGCAAGATTGACTGGATTGGCTATGACTTGAATTGTAGCATTTTAGGATGACTCGTCTTATTATGAAATTACCGAAAAAGATAAAAGGGCGGGAGAAGGCTTGGTCTAATAGCTCTGATAACAACAGGCCGACAGGCGGAAGGACAACCAGCACAACGTTGGATGATGGACAAAACTCACAGTGCATAGATTGAATGATTGGATGAGAAATGAACAATAGATGGACGGACGGAAGAGAAATGGATGGAGGAAAGATCTCGTGATTAGAATTAATTCAGACTGCATTTTTATGATCTTAATGGAAAAACAGAAATCAGCCATATAGTCTAGAGGAAGGGAGGACGGAAATCCCAAAAAAAAATAAGAAAAAAGATCTCCGAGAAACAGCTGCTCCGTCTACAAACAGATATAGAAAAAAATGAATAAATAAATAAATCTTCGCTTCCTCCTCCACAAACTTACTAATACTCAAGCCCCTAGACCTGGTAAAGATTACGGCAATTATTCAAATTGATTCCGTTTAATGGTATAAAGTCTTTTTGTCAACTTGCTTTACGAGAAGTCGTTTGTCAGTTTTACTAGGAATTTCTTTTAAGTAATGTTGATTTTATAGCATGGAACATACCTGGTTGAGATCGAGTAACGCTATGATATAATGGTATACTTGTTATGATTCATGATAATTGGCTGAATTAACTCGGGGTTGTGGGTGGAAATAGACTCAAATATATTTTCAAAATATACASCTGCTGTCATGTGCACAGAGGAAGTTCAGCGTGTCTAGAATGATAAGTATGTAGAGTAATGGCGCTTAGTAAAGGACCCATCAATAATCCTTACCCTCCATTGACATACCTTGTCGCTTAGAATAGAATTGTCATCGATATTTCACCTATAATTTTTACCTTCGCGTTGGTTCGCGTATTAACCTACCATATAAACCACTTCATGGGTCCTATCGACAATGAAGCACCTAGTCTGATTGACCGGAGATTTGATATATATATGTAAGAGATAAAATGTTCGTTGAACATTATAACTAGCCTTTTTATRACAATTATAGTCAACATTTGAATATAGAAATGGTTCATATTTCTCATCGCAAAGAACATAGGTCTCGTCTAAAATGCTGTTTACTCGTGAAGTCTCTAGGAGTGTATATTGTCAATAAAGTGTTATATTTTTCACCGGTTGGTGTATATGTCACTGTACTCATCAATAACCATGACACCTTTTCACAATCTTTTCATTAGAACAARGAAATAGAATTTAAAAGAAAGACTCGCTTTTACRTGACATCCAGTGACYTTTCTCTTTATCAGGATAGTTGAAAGGTTCTGGACTTTCTACTGAAAGGGTAAACTTTTGTGAATWGTCTTTTTTGTGYGYGAATAATTAGCGTAACGAGGGAGTGCCTAATTAGCGAGAACAGTTTTCCATGTTTAAAGCGGCTACTTACATTTGAAAGTTTGCACTTCTTCGACAATCTGTAGCTAATTTTTGATCAGAGAACGTGATGGACGARCTGTAGTCCGATAAGAACATCACCTCGATMTGATGCATCGAACWCTCTCGTCGTGCATTACGTCATAGAAAGATTACAATTTATTAGCCCCTACATCTCTACACGGGGAGCTTTTGTAATTGTTTAATGACTATGGCGTCGATATGGAAACGATTGCTTGAAGCGAGGGWCCTGGAACTATTAACATGCGAGTAACTCTTATTATTTATATTCGGTATTGTTATCACGTGATCTATGCTTTTGCAAWTAAGTGTTTATATAGCCTAATAAGGGTCGACGATTTGTCATTATTTACAAAGAGTTTTGTGCAAACAAGGGATGTTCAGGAACACAGAACTCCATGACAATGTGCCCTGCATGAGCTCATTGCATAACCCTTAAAGGGACATATGGTCCACCAGAATTCAACGCGGTCGTGTTTTAGATTTTTCATATATCCATTCGCAAAACGTTTCCATCCATCTATTTGAAGGTCGAGTTCATATAGTATAAGGGATAATAAACAATAAGTTTTTGCTTACAGTTGTGTGAAATAGGTGAAACAGCTTACTGACGTTAATCCTTCGGTAGTTAAGATTTTGTTTAGTATTGCGTGGATCGTTGCTAAAACTACCCACAAGTCACATACGACTACATACGAGTAACATACGACTACATACGACTACATACAGGTTACATACGACTACATACAGGTTACATACGAGTAACATACGACTACATACGACAACATACGACTACTTACAAGTACGAAAAAATAAAAAATATAACTTTTAAAATGACAAAAATGCCCTTGAAAATAATTCGTCTATATCGGTCCAGGACCCTGATGACAGAGTAGCGACACAAAACACTATATGTTCGGGAGTCAAATAGTTCACCAAAATCACGGTAGAATGAAAATCCAGTCTAATCAAAGATACTTTACTGTATTTAGGTGKAGAATAGTCTTCCTTTTGACCAMATTCAGTTGACAATTCRAAGCTTCTTCGCCGCTCGGCATAGCATATAATTAGCCGDTAACAAAACGAGCAGTACCCTGCGAGCAGAGTGTATATCCTTACTTTGAGGTAAGGAAATACACTCTGCTCGCAGGGTAAACGAGCAGGGGCTTGGGACTGAAAATTTTAAAAGTGCTACAATCTTACAGAAATCTGTTGTTGATAGATGAAGCACATGTAAATTAGCTAAACTTTAAAGTTTGAGCAAGTTTAAGTCATTAGAATTGGGAATATAATTTTTTTTAAATTTCGAAAATTACCAAGAATGTATGTTTGGCTGGACGCTTTGGCTGGACACCATACATTTCTTTGTAATTTTGGCATGGTTTGAATGTCCATAACTKTATTGSTATAAGTTCAAACATCATGAAACTTAGTCAGTCAGCCTTTTATAAGGTGCTCTTTCACATTATGGGGTTATTYTTTCTGGAACCATTATTTAATTAGATTTGGAAGTTCGTACCCAGTCCCTTTTTCGTTTTKTTATTGGCCAATTGATGTGACACTTCAAGTATATTTTTACGTCTCTGGACGAACTTCAGTACAGAATGTCACGAAAAACTATATGTCCGGGAGTCTAAATAATTTACCGAAATCACGGGAGAATGTAAATCGAGCCGAAAAAAAATCGGGAAATGTCATGTCGAATTATAGATACTTTACTCTCTTTTTAGTTTAATCGTTTTCTGTTCAACGAACGAAGTAAGCTCAACTAAATTTGGTCGAAAGACAGAATATCTGCACCTAAAAACAGTAAAGTATCTTTAATAAAACTGGATTTACATTCTCCCATGCTTTCGGTAAATTATTTTGACTCCTGGACATATAGTTTTTCGCCCGTGACATTCTGTCCGGGAGTTCGTCCAGAGACGTGAAAACCCTACTATAAGTGCCGCTATAAGTGCCGCTACTCTGTCATCAGGGTCCTGGACCGATATAGACGAATTATTTTCAAGGGCATTTTTGTCATTTTAAAAGTTTTATTTTTTTGTAATTGTATGTAGTCGTATGTTGTCGTATGTAGTCGTATGTTACTCGTATGTAACCTTTATGTAGTCGTATGTAACCTGTATGTAGTCGTATGTAGTCGTATGTTACTCGTATGTAGTCGTATGTGACTTGTGGGTAGTTTTAGCAACGATCGTATTGCGTGATGTATTTTTATTTTCAAACATGAGTAAAAGCTCGATGGTCGTGGACTATGTCCCATTTAAACAAAAATGTACTTCACTGTGTAAGTATTGAAATTGATTGAATTCAGGGGTGTGTCAATCGTGTAAGAACTGCCCGTAGAGTCGATGAATATAGGATATATTAAGTTATATTGCTATAGTCAGTAGTAGCCTAGGTATATTGCCTTAATCAAAAGAAAGCTGTCAGTTAGATTGTCTTATATAAACGTTACTTAGCGTGTGCATTGATTATTGATGACAATATCAGCCATTAAAGACAGTTGACACTGTTGTTGCTTTCAGTGAAGATCTTCGAGTTTAGTTTGATGGTTTCATGAATGACTGTAATCTATCAATGGAACAAAGTACTTGTACGCTTGTAATTCAAATTGTTCTTGAAAACCATTTTGAGCTTACAAAGATAACATGTGATTTTGATAGGTTTGAGAACGATCAGTTGTTCCCAAGCAGATTGAATAAAGAAGTGCAAAGCATGAAAATCTCTCATTGATATGGCATGAAATCAAGAACTGACTCGGCTTATAGCAACATCTCTGACCAGTAATCCTACATTTAGTAGATAATCCACAACACACCGTCGACATCAGCAGTGATATCGATACAACATTCACTTACACAACACGAAACGTCAAAAAACCTTTACTAATCCTAATGTATTGTTATGTTGTAACTTATTACAGTTCTAAGAGCTTTTAAATTCTTTTTAAACCACTCTATATCTTTATACTTTTAGGAACTTGTTATGCAAAATTGCATCAACCCTTGGTCACGTGATGGATAGCGAGATAAACAGTGTTTTTAATTGACAGCAAAGATAAAGACATCATATCAAACACAACCACCTCTTCTAACGCCCTCTAGTGAAGACAAGGTGTCGCAGAATACACCAATATGACAAACGAGTGGGATACGAAGCGAGAACTACTACAAGTTCCTGTCGGAAACTCTCATCTTCTTCAATAGGAATATGTCGTCGTTCCAAACTACAGGGGTCAGAAATGATTGGCAAATTGATCAAGGGAAAAAAAGCTGTGAATTTTCAGTTATGATGTCTGCAACAACAGGGTGGGAAGATGCTTTCTGATAAAAAACGGCGAATCTATCCGGCTGTTTACAAGACGTAAATTCGGAAAGAGGTAGCCTAACAGGTATGTTTTGTACGTCTTACTTTGTCAGTTAGAAAGACACAACAAGACTAATTAGTTCAAAAAGTGTAAAAACACGATGTGTAGCCGAAATTTTACGAGTTTTCATAGAATTCACGGCAAACAGAGTTGCAGGATAGTTGGGTAACAGTTGTAATGATATGAATATGAAAACCATAGAAACTACTAATGGCCTAATCCTTACTTATAGCAAGATAGTACAATTGTCAGTGAACTATGAATTGATCTTGTAACATGCTCAAAGGAAAGATTAATTCAGAAACTAAATATGTTTTACTTGAGGCGATATTCTGTAACTCAATATCATAAATGTGGCCAAAGATGGCAGAGCCGTCGTTTCTACGTCGCATTAGCACAAAAAATATTGAGTCGGATTAAGGCCTTAGAGAAATGGCCCTAGTGATTGATGTGTGTATCAGGCCAATGTTAACGTCTTTTATGCGCATGTCATCACTTTGCGATTGAATCTCCTTTCTAATGATCTTGCGGCATTTTGTCTTTGAATTGGATTAATGGTTTTGGTTTCTTTCCGCCTATAAGATCCAGTTTAGCTGTTTTCTGTTCAAAGGTTTTTGTTCCAACGAACATTCTGATCATCTTGCACAATCGAAAATAACCTAGAATTTCCATTTTTATTGATTTTACAATATCTAATAATGAATTGAAAGATTTTGAATAAGCAAAATATTTTCAAGTTTAGATCTACGTTTTTCACTAAATTACCTTCTAATTAAAACTTCGATAGCTTTTCTTAATGCTCCGAGTTCATATATTCCAGACTAGGCGCGTTTTGCTTCCGATCGATGCAATTTTGTGTGGCAAACTTTTATACGTTTTACAACAAAAAAGAAAAATGAAAGCTCTATATACAGCGCGATTATCGAGGTTTCATTATAAGCACTATTTGGCTTTCTCTTGCCCAAAAAAACGCAGCTAAAAAACTCGTGGATTCAAATTTCTGGCGTACACCTTCAGTTGATACTGATCGTGTACTCGTGGAAATAAGTAGACTAAGTACTTCCATGAACAAACACTACAGTCGTGTAGATAATATTGCATTGTTGCTTTGTGGAAAATGGCTCTTATTTTTTTTCAAGAACTCAATTGCTCTCTTCAGGTTTCCAAGAGTCTTTGTGTTTGTTACCGTCGCTACTAAATGACAGTGTTTCAAATCTATATAAACTAAATAATCTGACTATCCAAGCTACCTATAGGAGATATTAGACACAGGTTTGACCATTCATTCGGCCTGTGATCATACGCTATAAGTCATAAGGATGTCGATGTCATCACCGAATAGGGTGCTGACACTCATTGTTGCCGCTGGTCATTCGTTGTTTTTAGTTTCGCGGAATGCTGAAAGAATATAGAATCTTCAAAAGGTTGGAATATCAGGAAACAGTAAATTGCTAGTCAAGCTAGCGGTCAAATAGCTGCTTTATTCCAGCAAGAATAATACAATAATAATTAAAATAGTGGTTATCAAGAGCAATCACAATTATTCAATAACTTATTTGGAATAGTATTGTTTTTGTACGAAATATTAAACTTTTCTACTTCATTTGAAACATCTTTCAACATTTTTTATGATAAATTACCAACAACATCCGAAGTTTATCTTGAACAGTTGGCCGGCAGCGTTGTGCCATTAGCCATGTTATCGCATCATTGATCAATTGTTTTTGCTCTATAAAGTGCTTTGGTTTTTGTGGTCTTAATTCCCATTACTTGCTATGCTGATAGCAAAATAACATTGAGCTATTTATCATATACATTATTATGTTTACCTAAACAACTGGAGTCTGTCTGTTGCCCCTGGCTGAGGGTGTGGCTAGTAACAAAGAACGTGTTTAAAATTTGATGACTTTCTATAATTCCCACAGCAAGACGCACAAAACCACTTAACAAGATTACAAGACGCCCTTTATTTATGAAAGGAAACATATAGAATTCTCAAATTAAGGGATTTACCACCATTGACTAAAATATCTTAGTCCTTCTTTACTTTTTACTACGGTTGGTGAAGTCATTAACGTTGAGCCGTAAGTTCTAGTCCAATGTGGGCAGCTGAATATTCAGCCCATATAGTTGTAGATCGCTGAATATTAATCATGCCGTATGCGATGGACGACAAATATCGGAAAAAGTCATAAAGAGAACAACTTTTATTACTTAAAATACGGTATTTTACGCAAATAACTCACAAATTTCTATAATTTTTTCAAACATTTTTTGGAAAAGGTTTAGGTTGAGAACATCGTCATATTTCGATTTACATGACATCGTGTCATAAGGAATACTTGCTGTTTGCATGAAACAGTAATAAAATTGAACATTATACGGCTTCAGGTCTGTCGTTAATCCCAAGACATTAGGGGAAACGAGCATTCTAATATCACTTACTGTTTTACTAAAAGATGATGACTGTGTTTAGTAGACATTGATAATTTGGGCTTTTTTCCATGACCTTTAGTTTTAGTTTTGGTCCCCCAGTGCCTTTGCGCATGCGTGTGAGAGAGGGAGCGTGTTTGTAGTTGTTGAAAAAAAACACATGGTTTGAAATCACTAGTATTATTAAACGTCTTTAAACCGTAAAGTGCCTGCTAAATCTCTGTCAAACCAGACTGACAAGTGCACCTTTAAATAATCCATGTTCAGTTTCTAAGGGACTGTGCAATATTTATCAGGAGAGGGAAGGAAGAGAAATGAGCCAAAAAATCAAAAAAGTTAATTACTACTAGTAAATTTTAGAAGTTGTTCCCTAGCACACAAAATTAGATTTTGCCCCCACCCCTTCCCCCTCTGGATTCCAAATCCTCCCCCTGATAAACATTGTGCAAATTCTAAGTACATGTGCAGTAATAGAATCGAAATATAGAACGACCGCTATCATTGGTCAATGCATTAACAATAACGCACGATATCATTGGTCAATCCATCAACAATAACGCACGCTATCATTGGTCAATGCATTAACAATAACGCACGATTTCATTGGTCAATCCATCAACAATAACGCACGCTATCATTGGTCAATGCATTAACAATAACGCACGATTTCATTGGTCAATCCATCAACAATAACGCACGCTATCATTGGTCAACGATTAATTGGGTACCTCATTACGAGAGCAGACTGGGACAGTCAGCACTAATCGAAACGAATGTCACGATAGGTTGAGAAAACAACGAACAAATAATAGATAAACAAAGTCTAGAATAAATCAAAACCCAACAATACAGTTTGTGAGCAATCAAAAGTCGATCGGTGCTGCATTATTGGAAAGGAATAAAACCACGGCTGGGGTTTTGCTTCATGCATTAGAAAAAATCGACGAATTCAACATTGTTAATGTCACTTAACAATGAGAGTACAGTCGAACCTCTATTAAGCGGCCTCCTTGGGAAAATACAAAATGACCGCTTAATGGAGGTAGACCGTGTAATAGATGTCACGTTTAAAACAGTTTATGGAGGGTGACCGTTAAATAGAGGGTCGTTTAATAGGGGTTCGACTGTAATTATAGCAGTGGGACACCACCACTTACCAAATATTACAATAAACTGTTATTTCGTACCAGATTTGTACATCGTTTATATATATATATGATGTATATAATACAATCTCGCCAAACATAGTGTACAAATTAAATTCTATTTTACATAAAATAGTCACATGTCATGTGACTGCCCACGTCATTAACTCAGAATTAGCCCATAATGCCACGGGGCCTTACTATTTACAGCTTCTTAAGTTTCATATTCTCGCCACTGATTTCGAAATACCACGCAATCGAGCCTCACTTTTTCCAACCAGCCTCGATTGGTTGCCATTCTGACCGTCAGAACACAGAGTGATTCTATTTAATTATATTCTACTAAATGTTGTCTAGAATTGTTACGGATTCGCGAATGATCAAAGTATTTGTGTAGAGGCAGTTCGACCGTCGACAATCCAATAGGGACATTCTTCACATAGCAGAAATATAGCACAGGAATCCAGGGGAGCACACAGGTAGAAGATAAAAAAAATCCAGTAAAGTCCCGTGTTTAATTTCTACACAGCAGTGTGTCCGTCAGGAACCGAACCATCTTCAACATCAAATTTATGCCATACTTTTTTCTTGGCCTTTGGCGAAGGCGTTCCTTTGATTGTTTTCCTAAATGATTCTGTTCTACGAACATTCAGCGAGCCCGTGGAACCAAATTGACCAGGTGCTGTCAGATAACTCAAATAAGGGTTCCCATTTGGATGGAGTGATTTTTCTTTGAAGCTGCCGCAGTGGCGTCGCTTGGCTGCGTCTATCAACCAGTACGTTACACAATTCCCTTTACCCTGCAAACACGACAAGACCAACAATGAACACAACTGATTAAACCCAACCAAACAGCATTAAATAGTACCTTTAAGAACACTTCGCCTCGCTCTTCAACAATAAAACCTCCGAGTCGATCTAGGAATTCTTTGGTTTGTGAACTGATGTGAATACGAAGAGCTGAAGAAAATATATTAATCCCAATAAATTGATACTCGAGACACGCGTTTTAACATGATTTGTTGCGCATGGTGACCGGGGACGATGATTGTAGTGATGTTGGTGATTAAATGATGGTAAGATAATGTCATTATTGATGATGACTTACGTTCTCCATTGGACTCCATTCGTGATGATGTGTTAACAGTGTCACCAAATAAACAGTACCGAGGCATTGTGTTGCCAACTACTCCAGCTACAACAGGACCTAAAAACACACATCACGTGACTATTGTTTTCTTCCTAAAGAAACCCATGTATTTTAAGTCTTTCTGCCCTTCCCATTCTTTCTTTAGTTAATGATACGAGTAATAACAGGTGCACCACCGCGATTTTCATTCAGCACTCCTATGAGATCCATCACTACTAACGCTGCTAGCCTACAAACAGAATGGCATTTGGCGCTCGGATAACCCGGGGATGGGGGAAGTGGGGGAGGGGATCTGGAGTAAAAGTACCGGTCAGCCAAGCCGTTTTTTCAAGACTTCCAGGTTTTTTTTAGGGATATTTTTGAAAATTTCCGACAAGCATTCCCTCGGATAAGCAGCCGTTACTTGGTTCGGCGATAGTTGATATCATTACAGTACTAATAATAATATCATAGTAATACAGTAGTATTTATCATTCAATGTGCGTCGTACTTACCACTATGAATTCCTACGCGTAGTTTTAGCTTGTACCCCGGTTTGTGTCGAACAGTAAAAACATTTTGTACAGCGTCGACTAAATGTAGCGACATGCGCGCTATTTCTCCAGCATGGCGGGAACCATTTCTTATGGGTAAACCGCTGACTACCATATAAGCGTCTCCTATTGTTTCAACCTGTAGAAAACATAAACAAATAAAAAATAAACTGATTAAAATATTAAATACCTAACACAAAACTACTGAACTCCATGTAAAAATGCAACATTTATTTTATTGCCGCAGATTCTTGATTCCAAGTGTCTTGATTCCGGATTCCAGAGACTAAATCTTGTCGGATTCCGAATTTCGTGTTATGAGGCGAGAGAGGAGGAGGACCGGGGACGGGTCCGTGTTGTGATACATGCAGGGCGCATCTTTTGCATTTTGCCATCTTGCATACACACACAACCCGTCTTCCCTCTATCCCAGTCCATCACGGGAATTGGATGATAGAAGCGAGACGATAAATTTTTTTCTACAAAAAATTGCGGATATAAAATTTACTGCCGCTTGTGAACAGTGTTTGCGGTGACCAGGGAACTTTTCAGCATTCACGCGGCGGGATCCCTGTGATTGACCTTTTAAGGCCGGGATACTAAGGAAAAAATCATGGCCGGCATTTTACTACAAGACCCTACAATCACTGTAAGTTTTCATTGAAAGCTCACAGATGATTGCAAATCGCATAAATTGTTTCGGAATGTGGTAGATTTACTGGTTAATACGTTTGCCAGTTGATGGCCTTGTTGATAGTCCATTTGATGGTCAATGTACAAATCGTTTTACACGATGCAATCTGCTTTGCTTAGCTTACCTTGTATACATCGTACTCTCGTATAATGTCATCGAAGAGAGTGTATAAGTCATTCAGCAGCGCAACGACCTTAAAAAGTCAACATGAAACAACTTTTGTAAAGAATACTATAATAACTTAAGATAAAAGAAAACTGATGCTAAGCTTATTTTTTTAGGTAATGGCGTCGTCTGTTCAACAAAAGTTGTGAAGAAAGAAGTGATTTTTTTAGTTATGCAAGGTAAGATATAACTAGTAATAACTTAGCTAAAAACGAAAACTATTTAACAATTAGATCTCGAGGGCGAGTTATCATCTCGTAGTCCACGAGGCCGAGAGATCTAATTGTTTTAGTATTACCATACTAGTTGGACAAAATATGAATGAAATATATAAAGAATTAAATGTTTTTATTGCTAAAAATACGCAAAAAGTTGTCGCTTTTCGCTAGTCGAGGACTATTGAAAATAAACCCCGAGTAGCGTAGCCAATCAGAACGAAGGATTTGCAATAGTCCACTAGTATGGTAATACTAATAATACTAATTAAAACTATTATTTTATTTCAAACACTATGATTACAATTAACTTAATTTATATATATATTAAGCTTATATATCATTATGTAGAATTTAACTTAATTGGAGTTGTATTCTTCGGGCTGTGAACGTGTGTTGAATCATCGTTGTCTTTACAAATAATCATTAATAATAATCATTTTCTGATATAAACAAGATCGTCAGCCAATCAGAGAGCGCGTTATATATCAAAACTTTTATAACTGACTATATTGCACCTTTTACTGCACATTTTGTTTGGTGTTGCTACACAATCATAGAATAATATATCATCATATACAATGCAATATCTGTATTGACTTATAATGATAATAATATTATCTGGTTTTCTAAAATATTTAGGATACTACGCGCGCTGTGATTGGTCGAAAACCATGTTTGATTACAGTATCAAAACACGCTCGCGCGCGTCAAAAATTTCTTTTTTCCCGCCGTTTGCATTTGTTGTTGTTATCATTCATTTTCAAGAACAATGATCGAAGAAATGCCTATTTATGATGTCCTCTGGGATGATATCCCAGAAGAAGAGCTATCAAACGTTTTATAAGCTACAGAAGCTGCAGACAACTGCAATGTAAGGAGAATTCATCGTTTCATATCGTATCAAAAGTCAGAATTCTTTACAATTTTCGTATTCTTTTAATTTTAGAAAAGAAATAAAAGACGAAATTCCGTGTTTGATATTCTGATCAAAACACTTGGGATGTAGGGAGAGCACTCGAAAAGCTGGAAACCACTCCGCTACGCGTCGTGGTTTCCTACGCTTCTMTCGTGMTCTCMMTMCATCCCGCGTGTTTTGATCAGAGTATCAAACACGGAATTTCGTCTTTTATTCCTTAAATTAATATCATATTACCTGCATTGGCGTGCTCTCAGCACTCAGACTAGTAAACCCTACAATATCACTGAAGTAAATTGATACTTCATTAAAGCTTTCTGCTTCAACTGCTTTTCCTTTCTTAAGCTGTTCAGCGACAGATCTACATAAAGACAGTGTTATCATTATATGGGATTTGATAAGTAAACAGTTAAACAATAGAAAATAATTGAGTAATGTAATTGTTACAATTTAGTAATGATTTAATATAATAATATGTGATAACTCTGACTATCATCAAACTAAAAACATACAAACAAATAGATAAATGAATTTCAAAAATAAACAAATGACATGTACAAAATCGGAAATTCAAATAACAGTATAACAGGATAACAGTACAACAGGATAACTGGGGTCTTAGTGTTTTTAGAGTCTGCCATTTTCTGGTGAACAACAATGTCAAAACTTCATGTTCAGAGTTACAATGTAGTATCTATTTTTTGGTCTAAATTTTTTTTGTGTGTAGGAACTATAATATTAATTTGATATTAATTAACAATTGATGCAAACAAAGTGAGAGTACGTACGGTGGGAGCATGCGCTCTAACAAAGCGTCAGTCTTTTTCTTCTCTTCAATCAATTGCCCAGTTCTTTCCATCACAAGTTCCTCTAAGTTGTCTGCGTACTTCTCCATCATGTAGACTATGTTATCAAAAATGTTGGTTTTCCTTCAAGACAAAACCAAGAATCAGAATAGAAAACCCTTATCAGTCATCATTATCAATGTCCTACACAAATAATTAGTTTTACTAATTAACTAACTAACAGTAGAAATCATTACCTAAAATAATATATACTATGAATGCTAAGCTTTTAGAATACCATTCACTATCCAAGTTTCATCAGATATGCAAACCTATTCTATGATCACTGTGTATGACCAATCACACTTGTGGTTTCTATGGTTACTTACATTCCATTTTGTATAAGCAATTTATGGACAATTTTCTTTATATCATGAAAGTCAGGCCGAGTTTCATGGTCTTCCTCCCAACACTGGACCATGAGTTCCTTTAATTCTTCAACTCCACCAATGAGTTTAGTTACTGTTGGTCGGAATGGTGGATACTCTCTCTCTTTAACCCTGTGAACTATCTCTGTTGAACAGAAAGGATTTTCATATTTCATTAGATTGTCTCTATAAAACTTTGCTTGATAAACTAGGTTATGACAACATGACTCACTATCAAACATCTCACTCCACAAATCAACTGCTGGAATTTCAAGGGATCATCATGAAGAGATCAGAATGAATCATGTTGATTTATTAAGAGAACGATGGGCAGACAATACCAAAATCCTAACCTGACAATAAAAGTGCAGTACTAAGGGAGTAAGCAAAAACAAATTTTGACGTGTTTTGCAATACCCATTGCGCACTCCACAAAGACTTACATTTATTTACAAATAATTCAATTAGTCTTTGAAAGGGAAGTCAAGGGCAGCCTATTATCTCATTTTGATATTCCCCAGTATAATGATTTTTTCAATTCTAGATTTGATGAGCCAATGCTTACAAATTTAAGCTTCTATCAGTGTTTTCAAATGGATTTATATTACTGACCTTTTGGTTCAAGTTCAGTGTTGCTGTAAGGACCTTCTCTTGTATGAAATTCATGGAGAATAATAGCAAAGCTGTAAACATCTCCTTTTTGTGTTCCTCTGATTTCACGGTTTGGTGATCGAAGCAGCTCTGGAGCAACCCACAGTTGATCTAAGCAATTGAAAGGAATGAACTTCAATATATCAACAAACAATTAAACATGAACAATTCATAACAAATACAAACAAAAATCAGCAGGAAATCCATCTTGAATTGCGATATTTCATATACAGCTTCAACTTTAAATTTTCTCTATGATATTCCAATAATTACAATATTGTAAGCAATGTACTGTAAACAATATTTTTCTACAAAACCAAGTTCAAACAGTAGCTTTACCTCTATAATGAGCATAATTATCAGTAGGCTTTTTTACTTTAGCACGAAATGTTGGTAGACCATAATCAGTTATCTTAAGAACCCATCGACTRTCAACCAGACAATTAGATGACTTCAGGTTACCATGGGAATGGATATCAGAACTGTGTAGATACGCCATACCCTGAATTTAAAGAAGCATGCCATATTAATTAAGTAGCTAAATTAATTCTTTGACACAATGTAGAGGTTTTTAGTCAAATTGTCAAATGTGGAGTACTGATAGCCTCATTCATTGGCAACCTGCTTGGGTTTCCTTTGTTTTGCCACAGGAAGCCCAGAGTTGCCAGTAAACTAGACTAGAGTACTATTGCAATGTTTTCATACTTTAACAATGTCTGCTACAAGAGAAGCAATGAACATGTGATCCAATTTGACATCAGGGTTTTCTAGAATATCCTAAACAAAAATCACAAGTAAATACCAAATACCACGTCATTGGAAACAATTAAAACATGACTGTATAAATTCACATTGTGTTGTGAATTTTTGCTATTTTGAATGAGCCTTTCCAAACATGTCCATGTATTTGGACTTGTATTATTATTGATTTAAGGCATTTCCACTCTGCATGAACTGCATTCAAACTGTATGATTATTACTTAATAATGTTGATTTTTAACATATCAATGAAGATACAATACACTTCTACTTGAAGTTTTAATATTTACTTCTCCACTGTACTATTATTTCATCATGTTTACCTGTAGACTACCCCTTGAACAGTACTGCATCACTACACAAACGATAGGAGGCTCTGCACAAGCTCCAATGAATTGATTAAGATTGTCATGTCGAATATCTCGCATCTAAAAACAAGTTTTCAACAAACTAATTAGCTTTTTAACTCTAGACTACCTGTAAAAAGCAAACTTATTATCAATAAGGAAATAAGTGAGCTATCTTAACAATATTATTAGCGCACAAAAGCAAGACATGGCATACAGTAGACTTATGTAGTAACCAATAGAGACTGTCAAGAATAAATATTCAAAATGACAGCTAATATGATACTGATATGATAGCTGTGTGGTATATTTCTTGCTAGATAAAAACTGCCTTCAACCAGTGATCTTTTGCAGTACAACTCTGCCATTGTGGTAGAAATTTACACAGCTGTAATTATAATCACTTAACAACATCTTCTCACATACAATATTGTAGGAATGTCATCCATACACATGTAGAGACAATAAGCAAACATTACCTGTTTAAGTTCCAGTAATACTTTTCTTGTAAGGTCAATACTTCGTGTTGGTAACTTAGCAACAGTAACCATGTTACCCTGTAGGAATTAAAAACATTATTAATTGCTATAGCGAAGTTTGCAGCAAGCAATAGAAGAGCAACAAATAATTCAAAACTAGAAAGCAATCTGTTAGTAGCAAAAATTAAAAATAATGTCAAAAATATCATATCAATATCATCACTATTCTGTTTTGTTTTCAAAATCTGGCAAATATTTCTCTCTGTGACACTGACAGTGCCCATTACTCAGCTCATTTCATAAAAAGAAGTTCAATTTGTTGTTCAGACTTGTAGATTAGTGCCTATTTACCTTATAATTGCCAATTGTTGTGGTTTTGCCTTCACCCGTATCATCCTCTAGTAATGGTATACCAGCTTCATCTTCAGGATCTCTGTGATGCTGAAATAATATCACAATAATCATTGCAATCCCATCAATAATCAACAAAGCTTAAGTAGATATTCATGTTATAGTGGTCCATATATATTAGTTAAAATGCCTTCTCTCAAAAGGATTAGAGCATTATTTAAGATGCTAAAATTACATTTTTTCAATTTGTCTTTTGTTTAGCTGCTTGTTTTCAGTAAAATTCCCTATAGAATAACATGGAACAGGAACATTGTGTAAAAATCTGACCATATGCCAGCAAATCAGAGTGCACAATTTCTGAGAAATACAGGACAAAATTAGATATCGTGTGATTTATTTATAATATACTTACAATGATTGCACTTGCAAGGGATGTGTTAGATCCCCGTCGATGCTCAAAGCAAAGATCATTGTAGTCAATCTTCCAAAATCTACTTTGTAATTCTCTTTCAGCTTTGTAATGTCTGTAAATTTACACAAATTGCTTATGAATTAAGGTGCTACTTTCATGATTTATGTGGCTTCTTTTCAATAWGATAGCCTTGTTATGATTGCTATTATCTTGTTACCATTATCTATCCTCAAACTGATTTATATTTACAAGAAACTTTACCTGTAGAAGTTTGCAATAAACAAAAGAACAAGAAATGCCAAAGCACCAGACACAGCAGCAATGATAGTGATATTATCATCTGAAGACAAAAAATTTTCAATCCATTAGTTTTAGTAAAGATAAACATGAATGTACAACAACACCAAACAAAAATGAACCATACTCTACAAGAATCCTTATAATTGGAGATTTCAAAGTCGAATATTGTATTATTGTATTATTATTATTGTATTATTGTAATATTGTAGTATTCATTCAAAGTCGAATATTGACCAGTTTTAAATAATCAATACCATTACTGTTAGGAGAGCTTTCTCTATCATTTTCCAGGCACCAAATCAGATCTTTTTCAATTTTTATTTCATAACATAGAAAAGTGTTTTAGCATTGACCATAATAGATTTCATTYAAGGAAACAAAGAATGCGGCATCAATATTCAAATAATCAATGAGAGTTTTGGAGGATACACTTCTGTCTTGACTGTAGAAAAAAGTAATCACCTTTCTTTTTGGTGTCGTCTGGACATAATTTCCCATCAAATCCACATTTAGGTTCATCTTTAGGCGGGGTTGTAGAACCGTCAGCCCAGACAAATGGAGCATTACTCCTAAAAACCAGTTTCACCTTCGTTTCATTTTTGTTTAGCAATTGAAAGTCAGCAGTTTCAATTAATTCTGCAAATAAACAAAATAAGAATACATTTTATTGTGTGTTGATTCACTCCTTTAAATATTAAGAAAAACAACTAGTACTTTACTATATCTACACCATAGTTGCAGTACCTTTTTCACCGAATGTTCCCTTTCTATATGCTAACACTGATATATTGAATTCAGCATCTCCATTTTTATCCATGTGAACTTGAAAACCTTGTATACCTAATGAAAAAAAATACCAGGGAATGAATGACTGATGAAGTCCTGGTCTGAGGGACAGTACTTACTATGATAAGTGCGGTCCTTCATCTTGTCAAAGATGGCATGTCCTGTAGGAGTCTCATTTCTCATTAGAGTCTTGTTAAGAGCAATAGCATACTGGACGACAGCATCATATAGAAATGCACCTTGCATTGGTACCTGAAATATCCATCATACATTAAAAATGAAACTGCAACGTTTTTATTCCATAAATTAATTTCAGTTGCATATTAAGCATCTATAAAAATGAAAGGTGACTAAGGGTGTCAACGCAGGTTACTGAATGAGTTGCAGACTACTTAAAACAAGCCCATGAAGAAATGCGATGTTGGGCAGCAACTTGCAAMCTCCCAACCTGGGACTAGTTAATTAGAATTAAATTACATGTCTAGTTTTATATCAAGATTTTTCAGTAATTACCAAAATTTTCCATTACATTTTACTATTAAAATAGTAGACAAAAAGAATGACTAATGAAGGAATTTTTTGTTTGTCTGGCTATGTAATCAGGCCCAACAAATGGAAATTTCCCTAACACTACTTTTATTATTCATCTTTATTTATTAATAATTATTAATAGTTATATAACTACTTGACTTACCAGATTATTCTTCTTGTCCACATACGCCGAGCTGTTAAAAGGGGGTAACTTTGTGGTACGTTTCAACTCGGTCTCAAATTGCTGGTACTCACGGTTTCCTGAGGCACTTTTTACAACCAGTAGAAGTACTGCTTTCAAACCTCTTTTGAAAATTACATCAAATTCTTTATCTGCCCTGTGTTTGAGTAAGAATGAATAAATTGTGGTATAAATAACTGCACTGAATCTACGTATTAAATGCTATACACAACTATTTCCAAAATATAGGTAATGAATATTGATAGTACAAACAAAAGCAATAGCCACATTCAATGAAAAAACTTTGACAATCTGCACTATGAGAATGCCTTCCTAACAAAAACCTTACCATAGCTCTGAGCATGTCAATACCGGATTCTCTCTTCAAATGGCTTTCATTTACAATAGAGTACAAACACTAAAACTGTCCAACATAAATACCACTAAATACTGCTAAATTATGCTAACTCTATTGTTTTCTATTGTTTAATTAACACTATTTTGTAGTAAATAGTGGAAAGTGTTGCACACATTTAATGTTTGTACTCTAAGGTCACACAARTAATTTTATCATTTCCCCCCAAGTAACATCAAAATCATTGATGTATAATAGTTGTTATTAAGCCTTTTAACTTACTTGTCCTCTCTAGGCACAAGTGAAAAGTACCAAACTTCAGGAAATCTCTTTTTCTTCTTGATGTATAAGTGGTTGAGTTCCAGTGCAATGAGCACATAGTCACCATTGGCTAATCCTTCTTTACTTGCAATATAGATCAGCTCTCTGGCCATGTTAAAACTTGATATAAACAGAACAACTAAACACAAAACATAATCCTGACTGTTAAAACTGTGGAAGAAGTAAATCATGACTTTCAAAAATAGCGCGATATGTCACGGTCGCTGACCAGGGCACTGGGGATGAAATACTAAAACGATGAGGTCTCAAAGGCCATCTTCTCTATAGTTAACTTTGATGGTGTCTTATAAGAGTGTTTTGTTATATCATACCAATATAGCTTTCAAATCTTTGGACACTTCTACCTACATGTGATCTTCATAGTGATTTCCAGATAGAAGGCCTTTGAGGTCTCATGTACATGATTCGTTGCTAGTCCCCAGAAAGTTGCGTATAGTCAATTATCAATATTGTACCAGTAACTACTGTGACATATATCAGATTTCTGCATTTTGCAAAAATAATAAATGTGGTACCATAGTTGTTATCTATGCTTATTTCACTGATAAATGCACAGCAATTTATCATTTATTGCTTCTATGATATAGAAAGTTAGTTGTGCTTGGCAGCATCTTTTCTTGCAAAATAAGTCACAATCTTTGACCAATTAGAGCATTTATACACTTTACATCAGCTAAATTATAAACAGCAATATCAGACCATTGCTGCAGCTTCAATGTCCGAGCATGAAACATGGGTACAAGTATTAGAATTGCATAGATGGGTGTGTGACCTACATTATCTGAAAGAGCGAATCTAAATCAATTAAAAAGCAAAGTTTGGAGGAAATCCAGTCAATGTTTCCAAAATTATAGCCATTCAAAAACTCTCTTAATTATAGATTGTGGAGAATGCTTTTCCCACAATCTATGCATTCTTTTGTAAGCATTAACATTTTTCAACAGCTTCAAGTTCTTAGATAGTCATCTGAACTAAACCAAACTTGGGGATATTATCAATTTTGATGAGCTCTTTAAGATGATATAGGTAACTTGGCAATTTTAAACCTCAAACCCAGCCTCCTGCTTGGACATGAGACCAGCTTACTTCTAGCTTTCTTCTTGATAGCATTCATTTTATCAGCCAATTCTCTCTCATATTTTGGAAGTTTTTCAATACTTGTCATGTCAATCAATGGTGGAACTTCTTCCTCATAGGCAACATAGATGTTATTTTTCTTGAATTGGTTTTTTAAAAAATCTTTAAGATCTTTCCATTTTGATAAATTCTCATACAGTATGGCGACTCTGTCCCAATTAAAAGTGTTCAGCAAAGCTATGATACTTGGAGAAACTTTGGAGTCCACAGCAAAAGTTCTCATAAATGTAGGATACAAATTTTTATTTGACAGCACGGCATTACTGCACATCTGAAAAATAAATAATAATAACAATCTTTTATTTGGAAAAACGAGTATTAAGTGGTTTTCATTGAGTTCCTAATTAAAGTTTAACTAATATTTTCAAGGGTAGGGTACAATATACATTTTAACAGTAATAAAATTATGAGTAAAAGAATTAGTAAACTTTGCACAATATTTAACTATCATCAATTATTTTCTTATTTTCATAGCCCAGCAGCTAACATTAATTATCAAATAAAGTCTATTAAGAACTTTTGCAGTAATACAAAACCAGACATGACATTGATGTTATATTGCTATAGTTTGGCTCATGGGTTGCAAGTAATTGGTGTGTTTCAGGTAATTCTGACATCATGCTGGACTTTAATGAGTATTTTGTTGACAAATCCACAGCTTGACTGACCATCAAACCCTCATTAACAATGTAAAAACCATTTCTCTATCTTGGCTATTATGTAGTTTTTGTAAGGTATCTGCATGAGCAAATAATAGAACTTTGAACTTGTTCAAGTGGTCTTAAATTGTCTTTGTTATGTTAGAGATATTCACGTAGATAGCTGTCCAGTGTAAATAGGTCTTGTGCTGCGATTCTACTTAGACATCAGCCTATTTATAAACAATATACAATTCTTGAGACAAAACATTAACTACTGTAGTGAGGTATTGAAATGCTATTTTATCACAACAACAGTTCTTTTAAAGTCTTTATTCCTTGCAATTTAATTAACTCCATCAGGAAATGTGCTTATCACATTCAAAATAATAAATAGCTATTACAATTTATATCAGTCTTGCAAAACATGGTTAATATAAGTCCATCGTTCTCTATTATCTAATATGAATTTATACTGGTCATAAAGACAWTTATTTATCAATATGTCTGCGTTTTTCAATTTGAATTATTTAGTTTGTTTGTCAAAACGTTATAGTCCAATAAGACTCATGTGAAAAAAAAAACATCAAGGACTAATAATAAAAACKCTGAACTGTCTCCCTGACCTCATTCTACTAGATTACATTAATCATATATTAATCTCGAATATAAATGTTATCATCAATATCAATTCATAATTAACAATTCACCATTTTCCTATCAACAATGAAATTATAATTATTTAAAAACTTCAATTTCAAAACAACAAAGTTAGAAATAGTCAAATACATGTAATACATATTCCTATAAATGCCATTCCGTCAAGTGYAGACCAATATTGGCACACTTTATATTGATATATTCAGCTTTCCGCTTTTGTTAAATGATAATCTTWCCAACGTGAGATTCGTATTTGTTTAGAGACAGACTTGTTCTTATGAATAAATTTAATATTTCAGCAATTCCACCAATTCTTTGTAAAAATAACGACTGAAAAACGTGAAAAGCAAATCAGTGTACTTGAAGATAAATAATAAAATAATTAACATAAAATTGAAGCCACTGACAAAAATATATGTTACTAAACCAACTGGTAAAATTCAACATGTGCGAAATACAAAGATTAGTAAAAGATCAGCTTAGATCGAAGATAAACTTTTTATTATGCAAACATTATTCAAGATGGTAAAAACATTTTTTCTTTTCAGCTCCTTAAAACATTGCTGGGAATAAAAGCTAATCTGCTAAATAAGTCGTAACATAACTCGTCAAGACAAAGTGTGTGATCACTACGATGCTGAAACCAATGTATCATACATATTGTCAGCAATAAGATATATAGCAAGCCTAATTCTAGTCTGTCAATAAATCAACATCATATGGAATGACGGCTTTATAAATTGACTCTTTATTCAGATTGAAAACAACGGCGATTGGGAGATTTATAAAAGGAAAGACGACTCGAACAAATGGGTCCAGAGATAGGATCTAAGACAGAAAGAAAGCTCCTTATAAGCGGTTAAAAACTCATTAGCCATTAAATCATCTTCGATAACCAAAACTGAGCATACTTTTACAAATAAAAGTCCCATATAATGACAGATTTTGGTTTCGATGGAAAAAACAATTCCATTGTTTAGAGTACGTTTAGTWATTAATAGTGGCGTGATGTTCCAAGAATGTTTGATCGATGTAAGCTCTGCTCTTCAGCCATGTCACTCAACAACTTCCTTTTGTAGCCTTCCACATAATTCCAATCTTTTTCTTGCAAAAACATCGCTAACAATAATTTGAAAATGAAGCGAGGTGACAATATCAAGCGCTTTAGGGCCTTCAATAACAATCGGAAGTTGAGGGAATTGTTGATTTGTCAAGTAAAATCGACTTTATGCCACTCGAACACTTCGATGTCAACAATATTAAATTGTTTCTTTTTATTCTGAATTTGAAAGAAATGTTTTGTCGATAGTTCCTTAGTTTACATGAATGTGATCTTTAATATTTCGCACGTTGAAAATGACTACAATTATCTCCCTCGGTTCATCTACCAATGTTTACATTTGGTTCAAAAGTGGACTTCTTTGCCTGAACTAAACGTTCATGTTTACCAGTTTTACTCGCTTTCATTTTCTTCTAATAATTGTGAACACGTAGAAAGCTATTTCAAAGGGCGCATCAGGACGAGAGATTGAGGTCAGTATATTTTAAGGGAAGAGAGGCTGATGTTTGTAAAGCTCTTCTGTTTCTTTGCTACCTAGATTCTGACTACAATAACATTATGTAAAGACAAAACTCGTCTATACTTACATACGATATGATGGGCAGATTGAAAGCTGCTGCATTCCTAGCGGCTGTCTTGCAGTAACAACCAGGGCCAATAATAGCTGATATTTTCTCGTTTATCAGTTCAAACTGGTGAGTTATGGTCCGCAATTCGTTGCAGTTTGTGTCTAACCATGTGAAGGAAATATTGTGCCCGGGTAAAAGATTAGGCTGTGCATTGACATAACGAACGGCAAGAGTCATAGCTGCAGCAAAGTTTTCTCCTTTAAAGTAATTGCCTCCACTGAACTGGGCTACAGTTTTATAAGGGATCAACAGTCCAAGCTTAAACTCCTTCTGATGTGTGACAGTACAAATCAATACTACCAAGAAGCCATGAAGTACCAACCTATGGAAGAGCATTCGTCGCACACTAGATTCGTTTGATAGTCTTCGCAAGGCTGACATGATTAACTAAATTTCCAAACTCCACTACATAGAAATTCCAAATACTTATTCTCCTGAAGAGCACTTATGAAGCGCCAAACCCACTGAAGTTCGTCTGCATTAGTWAAGATGGTTGTTAGGTTACAATAGAGTTCCACTGTACCATCAAAGGTTAAACCCCAGTCTAAACCAATACTATTTGTGTATAATCAAATCTGCTTCCCTTCTAAAATCACGCTGAACAAGATGGAATCAGTGTTTTGAGAAATACTCCAAAGGCCAGCTTATATTGTCGTCTCGTCCACTTATCAGCCCTACAGGAAGAAGAGAAAGTCAAGTCAGATTTGAACGCCGGGATACAAAAGAGAGCTATGTCAGACTAAGTTAATCATAAACCTACAATGGGATGATTCTTTGTGTTCCCAGGGGAATGAGAAAATGCAAAGAACAAACGAATTACACATCATCTGGACAGCGGATAACTTACAAAATTATTAATGCATGTTGATTCGAACTGCTCGTGACGAAAGCACGTATTAGTTTTGTGGCGATTACAAGGGCTCTCCAAGAGAATCATGTAATTTTATAAATACGACTAAATGGTATTCATTATAAAGACCGTCCGATGGACTACTATGCATTTGTCCCGTTTTCTAGTGAGAATAGCAAATAAATAGTGGGAAATAGAAAAACAAAAATGATTTGGCATTAAAACCGGCTTTGTTCATAAAAAAACATCACTATTAAACAGTCCCATCACACTAACTCAGGTAATTAATAGGAATATAGGCACGTTTGTGTGTGATTTTTTGGAGAGCAAGAGGTGGTTTGAATGTTTTCCTTCTTTAATCCGCGTAGAAAGAGTTTATTTTGTAAATTTTCTCGAGATGTTTTGTATTCAGTTTTCAATATTGTTTACATTTTGTCGATTCTGCAAGGACCGGTCAAAACAAAACTTGATGAAAAGATTAATTTCCGAAAAATGTTCCATCTTTAGTACAGTGCCTGCATGAACAACATAAAATATTAAAACTGTTCAACATCAAAAGAACTATTTAGTATTCATGGCCATTTTTAAGAAATTCGTGTTTTTTGTTGTTTTGTTTTGTTTTATATTGTTCTTTTTTTACTATTTCATTTACATGTACTTGGAGAGAGCACTTTAGCTTAGAAGACAAAATTATTGAACGCTTTCTTTCTTTCTTTTGTGCTTTGATGTTTAATTTCTACTTAAATTGTATATAGTCTTGCTTAGAGTTAGGTGTTGATATATATTGTGTAAGGTGTAAGTTAAAATATTGAGCACGCACAGGTGAAAATCACCCAACAAAAGACCCACTGGCAATTTTTACCTGAACAAACTACTGATACCTAAGTGCGATATGTCCAATCATGTCGCTCCTTCTATCTAAGTTATTCATTTAAAATCATAGTGTGCTTGTGTAAGCACGAGGTTACTGCTCTTGTACCTATCATCACTGGCAGTGTATTGACCTTGAGACAGTTTATCGATTGTAGAAAAATTTGTTGTCGTGCTTGTCTTGTCCATGTTGTAACCGGTAGSGGAGTGGGGTAGGGATCGAAGGCGAACCTAGAAGCCTGAAGCGCAAATAAACGGCAAAAATGAACGAAAACCTTTCACTATTAGAGGATATTTAGTCGCTATTACACGACGCTATCGTCCAGCTAAAACATGTTGAAAACATTTGTGGAAGACAGATTGCGTGACTCAGACAACGCCATAGATATGTCGTGACAAAAATTGCAATCCTTTCGTTACGTGACCAGGAGGTAATCATGTAATGTTGCAGTTTTTTTTTCTCTTTCAGTTTAAATTATCCCGTTACGGATTATCGTACCCTATCAGTTACGGGATAATGAGATGTTATAGAGTAGCTACTTAGTGCTTTGGGATTCATCCTTGAAGGCTGATGAAGGCTGATGATGAATCAATGACGGCCATATTGAATAACCATGATACCTTTCGGTCGTGCATTTGTCTGTATTTTTGACAATCTTTTTGTAATAACTATTACTTTTAGCGTTATTGTGCAATATCTTCCAATAATATAATGGGATCATTTAAATTAAATAGGAAAACAAAGTGTAAATGTGTCTGTCGCCGAAAGAAAAACAACTATTTTATATGCCATAATATATAGCTACTTGAATTTTATTATTGTCGATATATACATTAGTATCATATCTTGACTATTTGATGTGTCATTTGATGTTCGATATATTCACAGTAGSCGATGCGTGGCCATTTTGTCTAACAAAGAACGAATTAAGTTGTAAACCTCGCAATTAAAAAAGTCCTTTTAAGAGACTTTGGCTTTTCTTTATCAAAATAGATTTAGTTTCGTTTCGTTCGTACAAAGAAAACATAAAAACGGCTGTTATGAAGGCTACGACTCGCAGCATGCTTTGCTGATTCTGTCATGATGCCGCTGACCAGATACAATAATTAAACACTGTCAGATAACGATCGAAAGCCATCGCTTTGACAACGGAAACACATTAAAGTGGTTGAACACGAGCAATGCTTAAAATAGAACTTAAAATAGTTAACAAACAGATGTAATCAGACGATATTAATAATAATAATAATTATATCAGTAATTCTTATAAATATTAAACTAACAATTAATAGTATGCGATTGCATAGCGTTATTGATATTAGACTAATAAACTTTTAGTAGTGTCTAATTCCATTTTTTTCCATTGTAAGTATTATATTATCGATATATTAGATTTTATAACGGGACTTTGACGGTACGTAGACTATAACAAAACAACGTATGTGCGAGCAATATTCATTTCGCTTGAAAGCATTCAGTATGATATCAATTGTTATGAAGATAGYTAGCTTACTATTATGAATCAATAACGAATGTTCAATCGGATACAATTCATTTTTCGTAGAGGAGGGTTAAGGTATATAAGGGTAATGAATATGTAGTCTGTTCGTGGCATTTATTTTTTCTAGGGATAGACGACAGGCTTCACGAGTGTCCTGTCAATTTTCTAAGTGAGTTTGGGCCGCATTCATTATGACAGTGCAAGCAATAATTGATTTTAAGTAACGAAATGTATTGTTGTTATTTTTCCTAATCTAAAATTATTCCCTTTGTACTACGAATGATGGTCATTCACACACTGTGACTATATCACGATAAARTGGAACTTTATCCCAATCTGAAAGCCTTTTAACGCGGAATTGCGGTTATTTGTAACAGTCTATTATACTATCTTTGTTCTTTTCAATTCTACAACAGCAGGAGAAAATGGGCGAAAATCTTATTTTGAATCTAATATGTGATCMCATGATAATTCGATCAAGCTTAGGGAAAAAATACTGACGATCGATAACCAAYTGATCGATTAAGATGAGATGGTTTGTGCCATTAATGCCCTCAACCTGAACCTACCAATGATTTAGAACATTCGTTTTGTCCAAACCAATGTCAAGGGGGAATAGCAATCCTGTCATGGATCGAAATCACTTTACCTTGGTCTGTATTATTAAATGAGTTTTGCTAAAAGCAGTTTCTTAATTACGTTGTACTACGCAACAAACCTGAATTTTGACTTTTATAATATTACATAAATCAGTGAACAATTTGTTACAAACGAACTCTTTACTTGATGGAAATGTTCTTTGGCTCGTTAAAGCTCTTGAAAATTCACGCTTTCTATGGTCTGTGAGTGTATTTGCCGCATGCATTCTATTTGTATTATCTACTACCTTTGACTGGTTAAGGCTTTCACGGGTTCTTCATATTTTCTTGCTATAGATGACTCACCGTTTCTTGAGCTACTGGTCGCATTGATTCTGCCGATGTCGGTAATCACGACTATCTGTAGCATGTATTACTAACCATCTTACATGTCATGGTTCTTCTCTGTGAAACATCTGCCGTTAGTGAACGTAGACTTTTATTGCGTCAAGCTAAAGTCGTCCGTATTCAAACCCTGCTCGACCTGTAATCACACATCGCGGCCCAATTAGATGGCGTTCCTCAAGAATCAATATTGGCACCTGTCATACTAGGCTAACACCGTATTTATATATACCTTAGAACTCGCTGTGGACTTCTTAACTTTCGGTATTGATCGAAGTTTTGTTACTAATTTATCTGTGTTTTAATTGTGGTAGCATCTATCCATTGTGCTAGATTTAGCATAGCGTTGATATTCTAATCCGTTTATTGCAATGTCTTCGGGCTTATTATCAATTTTTATGAAGGAAATCGGAAGAGAAGTGATCTAAATAAGCAGAATGTGACTAGCAGAAACACAAAAGCACAATTATCAAAAACAAAAAGCTCGATTTAAATGTAATTTTCCAAGGAAAAAGAAAGGTTATTAGATGCCGACTTCCTGATGGACATGGCGTTGTGATTCGGCTTTGATGTATTACTTGCTGTTATTCATTTAAAAACGGAAAAATACAGTTGTATAGATGTCTATTTAAGTATAATATCGAGCAAACATGCCGCTGTATTGCTTTGCTTTTTTTTAGTACTGTGTCAATAATCACTGAAAAGCAATAATAGTATTCCTAAATAATTTCTTGACCAATTTGCTTCCAGCTTGATGCAGTTGACAATGAATTCATTGTGAAACTAATCTACTTGAATAAATGAGTGACAGGATTTCATGAGTCAAAAAAAAACCTCTCACATCGATTCTAAATGGAAATYCTGAATATTAAAGACAGAAAAAGCGAGAAAGAAATGTTGTGGTAATGCATTCGACATTATTTGGTAAGCTGATGTGTTTTTAAAGGTGTGCGAAGGGTTGAGCATGTGACGTGAATAGCCCCCGCGTTAAGCACCTTGAGAAAAAAGTGTCTAAATATAGAAATATTGACCGGTTGATGACGTCATTAACAGACAACCATCGTACTAAAAATAACATGATTGTAGACGGAACGCACTGAAACCCCTCAAGCACAGCGTAATAGTGTAATGTAATAACACATTATAAATACACCGAAAAGATAACGAAAAAACAAGGAGTATTCCAATGCGAACAATATATACATGCAATAGATGTATGCAGTCCATGCACAATAAGCACTAAATTAGACTAAATGTTCATGCTTCCTATTGTCTTATCAACACTGTTTATTAGTATAATATATTATTCACAGATTTAGTGCGCGACATTTAATCAATGCTATAAAGTAGTTCTCAGGATCCTGGAAAATATCACTTAAATAAGTAATATACACTGTACTGAACTCTAATTGCATCATTTTACTTTTGCGCTCAATTTACATATTACTAGTAAATATTTCACGGATTAT